AGCAAACATTTCCTATAACATTAGTTATAACTCGACTTTGTTAAAGACGAATTTACTTATTGAGGTAATTATTACGTAAAATTGACTAGAAAAATATACCTCTAATGTAAATTTACCAAACGGTTTTAATTTATATTTAAATTTACGTAAATTATACCAAGAAATCTACCTTTTACACAAATCTGCTTAAAAGTAACTTTAACCATATCAGCAAGGGAAAAACTACTAAAAAAATAACCAACAATTACTTCAACATTAAATTTCCTTTGTAGTAAAATTAGGTGCTATATTTAGGTAATATCTACCTGTTTGGAAACTAAAAATCGTCTTTATAGTAGAATATCCAACTAAGTACATTTAGTTAAAAATTCTACGTAATTTTATGCCTCCATAGTAACCTATTTGGCCGCTTTTATTTACTCTCCTTTAAAGTAATATTAGGTCGAGATCGTAGCAAAATTCTACCTGTTTATCTACCTAATTTCAACCAAATAGTCGAATACTCATTTAGTTGACCTATAAGTCATCTTGAAGAAATATTTATTAACTTTGTTGTAGCAATTACCTGAAAAATCTACCACAAAGTAAATTCGACTAAAAACCACCAATTTAAAAAGAGTCATACATGACCTATTTGTAAAATTTATAATATTTAGGTTATTTTAACAATTAGGTTGTTCAGTTACTGTCTTCGTCATTATTCTTAAAAATTTCGGCCATTTTAAAAAACCATTACAGTCGTAATCTTAATTTACGTGTGGTGTAGATAGAGCTTTAAATGAGTGCGAAAAATAATTAATAAAATGAGTTCGAAAAATAAAATCATATCGTTATACTTCCGATTTTTATCGTAAAGTGAAACGTCTAAAATCTCAAGTGCAGAACAACGTGATCTAAATATGTTATATTTACCTATAGGTAAATGTTTTATAAAACCTATAAGTTATTATTTCTTTAAATAGGTAAAGTTAACTAATATCTCGTGAAATTGAAGTTAATTCAACTTAGTAAAAAGGTATTTGTAAAATACGTAGATTTCCTTAGTCATAATAACTTTTAGGTCGAATTCGCACAATACGCCATATTTTCTTAACGTAATTGAAGAACGATTCCAAATTTTAAATTTTTAAAATGACCATAACTAAAACATACGAATGAAAATACCGAAAAACGAAACATTATTGATTTTCTAGAGTGATACACAACAAACGTAACATAGTTTTAGCTCATAATATTATTATTTTTTTTTACACGATCATATTTTTTTCTTATATTTTTTTAATTAGAGAGTATTTTGGAAGGGCATTGTTATTTTTCTAAGTAGAACTGTTAACATGCATGACAAAATTTTCTTCGCATTAATTTTAACAAGCGTGAACTGTATATTCACCGCAATTACATTACATATATTTTTGTCACCGACATTTATTTATTTTCAATCTTTCATGTGAATTAAGTATATGTTTTAGTTGTGTTGGTGACTTCTTACAATATTTCTACTTATATATAGATAAAAATACCAAATAAGTATAAAATTTCTTTTCGTACACTTGGAGACATACGTCATCTGCAAATATTTTGGTAGTTTCTACCTAAACTTAGTTAAATCAACGTCGAATTAACGTTATACTGACGTCAAATTTTCCTAGAGAGGTATTACTAACCAAACGTACTGGGCTACTACAATGTGGATTTAGATGTAATTCTACCTATTTTGGTAAATGAAACCAAATTTCAACGTCGTCTTATTCTCCACTTATGTCGAATCCACGTCGAGCCAACGTAAATTTTACTTAATTATGGTTAAATCTAATTTTGCGACCAAATTTATTATATATAATTTAGGTAGTATCGACGTCAAATTACACCAAAATGTTTGCTGGGGTAGTTGCTGATCGTTCTATAAAAAAACCATGCTGTTGTGGTGCAATGTAACGTCGAACGGACATAAATATCTCATATGTTATTATAGCCTCCATGACTTTAGGAATGCTGGATATAATTGAGATTCCTCGATAGTTTGAAACATAAGATTTGTCGCCGGATTTAAATATTGGCACTAAGTTAGAAGTATCTAAATAGGAGCACATATTTAAACTTTATATACACGTACATATTTTTTTTTTAAGGAAATGTAAAAAATAAACTTTAATAGTGGGGTACTGCGAAACCCTTGCATACACTGCTCTAAAGCCAAACAAATATTAATGTTAAGCTTTGGAAAAATTGTAATACCTGACAGCAATGTGAATAAAAGTACATAGCAAATCTTAAACGTTCTGTTATAACGGCAATTCATAACTTAGTTCATTCCTGGGAAACCTTTAACGAAGGACCATATTGTATAAATTTTTGGAAAAAGGAAGAAAAGGACTTTCCGATGGTATGAAAAAATATAGGGTGTTCTATTTAAAGTGAACCGATAATTTTGCTTAAAAAAGACTATTTTTTTGGCAGATTTAGGAAAAAATATACATTTAGCAACTATGTCCACAAAAACTTGAAGCAAATATCAGAAGTTAAGCGAAAACTGTACTTTTTTACATTCTCGAATAATAGGCTGTTAGACTCTTTATAGTGTCATATATCGTAAATAAATAATAAAAATAATGAAAATAAAAATCTGCAGATAAAACTGCAAATAGTTAAATCGTTGATACACATAATAAATAACAGCGAAACTAAAACTAATCCTTATGGAATATAGAAAAATGTAATACTAACGAGTTACATTATACATATTTAATCGAATTAAATTACGGGTTTTGAGCTTACATTAAATTGTAATTAGATGAAACAAAATGGATTCTATGTATTTTGAGGTGATCTTTTCGAAAAAAGGCAAAACAAAATGTAGCAGTTTTTCGAAAGTGCCGAAATTTTGGATTTTGTCAATTTATCAATTTTGCGCAGGCGCATGTCGAAAATAAATCAATATTTTTAAAACGCAGTTTATGACATTTGAAAGCTTAGGAAAAATGCTAATTTTTATGTCTCTTGGGAAATTTTGATCCGATGCACCGTTCCCGCGGTATGAACGATTGAAATTTGTTTAGTATTTTGAGGTCGAAAAATTGAATTTGTTAAATGTTCAAACACTAAATTCTTTATAACATTGGTAAAAATTAAGATATTTGAAAAAACAAAAATGCGTTTTGAACTTAAGGGATGTGACTAGTGATTCCCAGAAGGGGGCAAGAGAAATCCCAAAATTGGGCATATGGCGGAAGGGCAAAATGCACCGCGGTCCTAATTTCATCGTTTGCCTATAACGGCCAAACTATTTGAATTTTTTTAATGCCACTTACAAAGCTTACTCTTAAATGTAAAATCTTATGTGTGTGTGTGAATTTCACCGATATCGGACCATAATTGGCTAAGATATCAAACAATTAAATAATTTTTTTTTTCGAAAGTTTGAAGTGGCACAAAAATGCCAAAAATGCACCCAATGGCTCAAAACTTTTTTTTTGAGTACTATATTGTGTCTAGAATACGATTACATTACGGAAAATTCTGCAAATATATTTTATCTATTTTTTTGATCACTGTTCATTGAGTGACGACCAAAAAACACGGTTTTTGAGAAAAGTTGCCTAAAATTGACAATTTTTAGTTTTTTTTGTCTGAAAATTAAACAAACCCAAATTTCATGTCTTCTAAATGTGTATACAAAGTTTAAAGTGTATATGTTTCTTCTAAGTTGTAGAATTCTCCCGACAAAAGTCCCATTACACGCGCTCCGCGGGATCCAAAACTCGTGTATACACTACATTACTGTAATTTGATTTTTTTGCGATTTCCAGTTTTAAATTTCTTGCATATCTAAATTTATTAGGCTTAAAATTTATTAAATTGTATTTTACTGACTTGTTATAAGACGTTTCTTGAGTTTTGTGCAAAATATAGAATTACCAGATATTAGCGAACAAAAAGCAAGCTTATCACCAAGTTGGAACTTACACACAGGCTTAGGATTAATTTCCTAACATTTTTAAAGTATATCTTTTTGTGTATTTTTTTGTGCTCTTTTCGATGGCGAAGTTAGTTTTTTCAAATATATTTATTTTGTTAGATGTTTTCGGAAAACCCGGAAAAAAACACATGAGAAAAAAATTAAAAAAAAACTACGCCTCTTGTTTCCTGCGAATTCCCGAAAAATTATGTCAGATTTCGCCGCGGGACTTATTTTATTTGAATGCCAACAAAAAAATACGCAACTTCTCTCATGGGCACATATGTCTAACATTTATAATTTCGCCACAAATTCATCGCAAATTTCATGTGCATGGTTCTGATCAAAAAAACGAAAAAACGACTTTTTGGTAAAAGCACTTCTGGCGGCGAGAAATTCGCCATTAAAACTACTTGTGCAATGAATTTCCGAACTATTTTTCCTCTTTCGAATGGTGCATTATTTTCACTATCGGAATGATACTTGCCCAGATAATTAGCATTTTTACAATGGAAAATTCCGGAAAACCCGGTTTTTCCTAATTTAAAAAAAATTGAAAAATTGCTACCTACATCTTTTTTTTCTTTTTTTCGGAAAGATCACATCAAAATACACAAGGTCCTTTTTGTTTCATCCAATTACAAATTAATGTAAGCTCGAAGGGGCTTTTTTTCGTTATTTAATTGGACTAATTGAACATAAAACATTTTTTATAAAGCCTTTTAACTAAAAATATTTATTTTATATTTTATGGTAGGTATATTTTTACCAAACCATATCAGAATGATCATATATATTTTATTATTTAAATTAAATAAAAATCATTAACCACGCAATATTGTAACTAGGAACACTCTGTATATAAAATCGTAGGCAACGGTCTCCTAACTAAGATGATTATCAAATCCTGACGGTTAATGTCAGATATATCTGCCTAATTGACATGGCTTGTTAGGTGGTATAAAAGCAGGAAAATACGGAAAGAATTTCATTTTTAATTTTAAAAATTATAATAGAAATATTCGTAATATTTTTTTTAACTTACCCTCCAGGTGGTAAATGCGCTTCTACCGTAGTATTATGTTGCCGATCTAAGTGATGCCTAAGCCTACTACATTCTATACTAGTAACGAAAAACCACAAAACTAGCACATATTCGGCTAGCTTCATGTCTTCTCCTAGTGTAGGCTCTCGAGGAGCCCTCTCTGGATCTGGAAAGAAATAAAAAAACATATAATAACGAATATAATATTAACATAAGAAATAAGGGGTGGGTGGCTCAGTGGTAGAGTTTCTGCCTGTGGATACAAGGGTCCCAGGTTCGAATCCCACCGTTGGCCGGGATTTTTTTAGGATTCCCCACTCGACTATTCACTGTTGGGTTCTAATTAATAGTGCTTTTTCTAAAGTGGCGCTGGGAAACAGTTACAAATGACCTTAGTAGCCGATGCAGAACCAAAAAAAACCATAAGAAATAACGTAAAACATTATAAAAGTATAGCAGCATTGGAGAAGTATAACATTACAAAAGTATAACAAAATAAAGAAGTTGAACTAGCGAATGAACTTAGAATAAGAAAGTATAGCTTTATAAAAATACTATAGCATAATAAAAAAAGTAAAGTATAATTAGATAAATAGTAGTTTGTGTAACAAGAGTGGATATGATAACCATATCTAACGAAGACGAAATTTGAGCACGACGCTGCAGGCGGAGTGCTCAATCGTCTAAGTGCGATGTAGACAATCCACTCGAATTGTACAGTATATTTTTAACGACCCTCTAACGAAAATTTACAAATAAAATATTTTAGATTATTAGGAAAAAATAACTAATTTTAAAATAATTTATGACTTTTAATAATTTTTCAAATAAAATAACCGAAAAAGAAGATTTAATTTAAAAGTCCCCAGCCGAGGCCTGAACTTGAGTTTCTCTCGTGGAAGGCAGATACTGCCACCATCCATCCATTGGCAGATTTAGAAAAATTTTTCAATACTCGTAATTGAATTGACTTTAAGTTTAATTAAAATTAACAGAGTATTTACATAGTATAGATAAAAATGAAAATGCTATTATTTATCGATTCTACACAAATTTAAGTAATTTTAATGTATATTTAAGTCCAATAACTAAAACATATACTAACAACTAGTTTGACAGAATTGTCACTTATTTAAAATTTAAAAAATAATTTGCGTCGGGTGACCAAAATATGAACTGTGATTGGAGGGTTTCATTTTTTGCAGTGTTTTCACTACATAGAATGGATATAAAATATATTCGTTCAGTTAATGGCAATAGTATACTTTTTGATTTGTAGTCTGTGCGTAGATAAGTTAATATCCATGTGGGTGTAGAAAAAATATATTGCAGTATAAAAATATAGGAACATATCGGAGTATAAGAAAAGTATAGCAGTATAACAAAAGTCTAACAACAGGTTTGTTCCAATAACGATTTTTGAATCATATATAAACCAGTCCATAATTTATTGTTGACAATTTGTCGACAACTAGTGATTGTACAAGTTGCCAACCTGTCAAAGATTGGGACTCAACTCGGAACTCGGTTATATTGGAACACATTTTTAATAAATTCAACAGACGCACTATTACAATAATAAACCATAAAATAAATAATAATAAACAAAAACTATGAACATTAAACTCGATTGACAAATACAAATCAGAGCTGTCAGAGACGATATAATCACGAAATTTTCTATTTATTACGGCTTTGCATCTGTTCCTAAAGTGGCGATGGGAACAAGAAATAACGTAAAACATTAGAAAAGTATAGCAGCATTGGAGAAGTATAACAACATATAACAATTCAGACCCAGAAACTGATTTGACAGTACAAAAATCGGTTTGTGATTAGTTTTGGTTTTATTGGAACACTAAGTTTTCGTACAATTTTGAGTCTGAAGTTTATTGGAACACGAATTCTAGACTGCGCAAAATCTCGACATTACGTAAACTGATTTGGTTTATGTTGCCACAAACCTATAATAGGAAAGTACACGAAATTAGTATAAGAATATAAGAAAAGTATGACTGTATTAAAAATTAAAACAGTATAATAAAATTAAAGCAGTATAATAAAAGTGTAACAGTACAAGAAACTAGTATAAGACAAGCACAGCTGTATAGGAAAACTATAGCTGTATAAGAATATTCTAACAGTATAAGAAAAGTATAACATTATAAGAAAAATAAAAATAGTATAAGAAAAAGAACAACAGTATGAGAAAAAGGACAACTGTAAAAGAAAAAGAACAGTATAAGAAAAAGATTAGTACAAAAATGTACAACAATATAATAAAAGTTACATGTTAGGTAGAATGTACGCATCTACGTTATTACTTTCTAGATAACGGGCTTTAATGGACTTAAAACTGGAATTTTGACATTGTAGATGTCAGTTATGTTTTGATTAAAAATATTAAATCTACTGAGAAGGTAATTATTATAGATCTCTTCTAAATGAGCAGTACATATTCTAGGTAATATTTACATCCTACTAATTTCATTGTTAGTTGTAAATGATCTACCAAGGTGTATAAATAAAGGTTAAGTTACTAGTGAAATTTGATCCACTTTAGTTAACTTTGGCATACATTTAATAAGTATTAATTATGTATTTACACTGTCATTTACATATTATGGGTACAATGTTTTGATTAGATTTTTCCAATATGTTACCTAAGATGAGTAGAATTTTAAATTATATAAATAACATTGATGTTCTTAACATAGCGTTGGTTTTATCTTTCTGTATATGTTAGTTCAGAGAATGTGAGGTGGTGGTCAACTGAATATCTTAATTTTTTTGTTGAAGAACTATTGTACCACAAATAGTTGGTGGTCGGGTTGGAATATGTAGAAGAAGATTGGTGGGTCTCATTTATTTTGAAGACACACTTACTGCTGCACAACATCGGAATGAGATACTTCGCTCATTCAAAAATTAACTGGATGATGAGTAATTACAAAATGGGTATTTTCAACAAGATGATACAATAGCACATACGACCAGAGAAACACTTAAATATCTTGGAGATTTTTTTGATGACAGAATAATAAGCAGGAACACTTAAATCCCATATCCAACAACACTTTTGATTTAAACATATGCGATCTTTTATGAAGGGCCATACATCAAAAATTTTGTTCAGCGCTAATTCATAATCTGGAATAACTGGGAAATCGCATGATAGAAAAGTTGGAAGAGATCAACTCACTGCAAATGTTGCCTAACGTTTTTGCTAGATTGCACAAAAGATTTGGTTTGTGTTTAGACATAAATAGACAATATTTTCAATAATTAGTGTAGTTTAATGTAAATTTTGATTATCATTTCGATATTAAATAAATTATTTGTTTCTTTTTTTTTATTACAGGTAATAAATGCCATTTTGTGAAAGTGGTTTAAGTACCAACCTAACACATTTAAATTTTACAGCGATGGGTCATTATTATTATTATCCTGATCAGGATAATTTTAAAGGATTTGTTTTATTATCCGAGGTTTTCTCGCAAAGACAAGAAATTATGACAAAATAAATAAATTAAGGTGTTAAAGATTATTAGGTTTTTATTCAGTTCAGTTCAGTAATATCACCCCGTACAAAAGTGATCGACCGGAAATTAATCAGCGTTATTGGTGCATCCTGTATATCAACAGTCCGTCTTATGGAACTGATAGTAAACATTGTAAGTGCTTTTAATTGATTAAGTAACGAGGTTAATAAATTGTATGAGAGCGCCAGCCATTGAGCTGTGGGTCAAATGAGTCGAATAATTGATATACGGCTTTCAATTGTTTACAATACCGTTTTTTAGTGGATTTTAATTCGATATATGAAAAATTTTGGTAATCAACAGATAAGCAGGGCGTTAAAATTTGATATAGGAACATGAACTCTTTAGGAGCCTAGTTACTGGGATATAATTAAATTTAAAATCAAAAACAAGACCGATTATGGAATATATAGCATAGATTATTTAAAAATATAACTTTCAGCAACATTAGAGATAAAGGTATAACTATTAAAAATTGATAAAATTCTTATTTTCAATAAGAACCAATCCTCCATTATCAAATAAATAAGAAAAATTAATAGTATGATGACGTAAGTTACTTCAGGACTTCAGGATACTGAAATATTGCATATTTTCCGAAATCAGTTTATTTTAAATTATTCGTCATATTCAAAAATTATGTTTTGGATAACAAAATGTTCCTAAGTTAATTCATCATACTAGTATTATAAAGATAGTGCTCTAATCAAGGCAATTTTTAACCTTTGTCTATAATAATAAAATAACTTATGATCAAAAGAAAAATTCACAATCTGTTATTTATTTACATAATACAAAAAAAAAATATGAAACTTTATTACACACATATTTATATTTTAGAAAAATAATTTAAAGACAATTCCATGAAGAGCGAAGGCCAATATAAAAATGTTTTTATCGAAAGTATAAAGACCGTTGATATAAATTATAAATAATATTGGACACAGAAGAGTTCCTTGCAGCACTACATTCCGGAATTGTCCGCCATTTACTGAAATAAGTTTTACATAATTTTAAGGAAATTCCAAATACAATGTTTCAACTAAATATGTTTGTATACAATAGGAAAGTAAGTTTCTATTAGTTTATTTTTTAGTCTTGGTTTCAAATAGTTTATTGAAATATTTTCACATTAAAACAACCTGTAACCTTAGATAGTACCACCAAATTCTAATAAAAAATACAAATAAATATCGTATAGCACTATAAAATGATTACATTTGTCTTCGATATGTTTTTGTTATAAAATATCAAATTTTGTATTTTTCAAATTATTTCATGGAAGTGACTATTTAACCGCCAATTTAAATCCTATTGTAGATTTATTTGTCTTTGCATGGATACTTGGTATCATCAGAAAACCATTTTCAATTGCGCATACTACCTACTGGATTATCAGAAACAAACTTTGTGTTTATTCATAAATTACATTAGGTAAAGCAAGAGTTGTATAACATTATATTAGAGCATGTACCAATATGTATTACATTTATATACCCTAAAAGATATTAGCTGTAGATATATTTGACAAATTTGACATTATGTGGTTAAACGCAGCAAACGTAATCATAAATAATAAATCTACTGTCATTGACACACTGTTGTCTTTGACATACCTAGTGTT